ATAAAGATGAAATGGTATCCCTCAATTTTTGAAGTTGTAAAGGTGGACGAACTCAAAGCTCTCTCCAAAGATTTTATTTTTGCTTTTGAGTTTAGGATCCGCCGCACTATAAAGAGAGATGCAATTTTAGTTGGTCTAAGGAAGGTAGAGTGCTCAAGCATAAAAATTAAATAAAAAAGAGAGACACTCTAGCACTTCACGAGCACATAGAATAATTTTCTGTGACTGCCGGTGTCGGAAGTCCCGACGTAAGCCAGAACTTCCGACAGTCGAAAGTCACGACTCTTGCCGGAAGTTCTGACTCCCAGTCACTTAGCCTGTGCGGTGACTGTGGACGTTGGAAGTCCCGACATGAATCGGAACTCCCGACAGTCGGAAGTCCCGACCCAAGCCGGAAGTCCCAGCATCGGTGGTTCTGCTGGCCTGCTGTCTGTGCTCGTCGGAACTCCCGACGTACGTTGGAAGTCCTGATACCTGTTGCGGGCTGGCTGGACGTTTGACTACGCACATCGAAAGTCCCGACGTTCATCGGAAGTCCCAATGTTTGCCGGGAGTTCCGACACTGACCTGCACGCGCGGACTTCCGGCCCTATGTGAACAGTGTTTTCTGTTAACATCGGAAGTCCTGAGATCTGCGTAGGAACTTCCGACGTAGATCTGAACGGTTAGATTCACTTGGAGTATAAATACTCCTCTCTTCACTTCTAACCGTTATGGACTCATTAACAGCTGACCCACTTCATTCTCAACAGCTCCCAAGCAACTAAAGCACCCCTCTCCTCCCCCTTTTGCTCTAATTTTTTATTCCCTTAGGGATTTGAGCAAAAGGAGATTGGATTAAGTGGGAGCATCACTTTAGAAAGCTTGAGCACTTGATTTCTTCATCAAGCAGGTTGATTTTGCGTCTATTACTCTTGGGGCTTTGCCCCTAGCCGGCTAGGCGTTGCCCAAGAGGTTTCATCTTGTGGAAGAGCCTTAGGAAGTTTGTATCACCCTTTGATTTCTTAGTGGAAAGCTTAAGTGACCTTTGTGGTCGCTTTGAGAGAGGCAAGGACGTGGAATAGACTCCGACCTTGGTGGTCACCTCAACAACGAGGACGTAGGAGCTCCTTTGTGGGGTTGCCGAACCTCGGGATAAATCATTGTGTCCTGCGTGCTTGTTGTTGTTGTTGTGATTGCTTGAGATTACTTGTATGTGTTTGTCTCTTTGTCTCCCAAATCTCTATTTTAGGGTTTGGACTCGATCTACGGTTTGGAGGCATTACAGCGTCAAGAGAGTGACCCAACATCTTCACCAAACCACTAGGAAGTGAGGTTGTAAGATTATTTATCCGCAAAGTTAATTTTGGCACTGCTTTTGTAGTTCACGTAGGCGTCGAAACTGCTGACGTTTGCGCCGGAACTTCTGACAATGTCGGGAGTTCCGACCCAAACGCCGGGACTTCTGACAGTGACTGACAGATTTGAACTTAGCATTTACAGTAAATTTTTAGATACGCCTATTCAGCCCCCTCTAGGCATTGTTAGATCCTTTCAACGTCAGAGACCCACTTGCACGTGGGGAAAGCCCGAGGCTATCCACGGAGTTACCCGACCGGGAGCTTGGCCCTTACGAGAGATTCCTTGTGATGGGCTCTAACGAGGACTAGGGGAAAGCTTCCGCGCTTCTCGATACCTCGATAAAAATACCGGAGTCATCGACGGAAGTTTGCATATCTCTACCTCGCTCTTTAGCTTCCACATTTACATTGATTGTATTACTTCTTTTGCGGTAGAGATAGCAACACATTAGCAAAACCGTAGTTGCACATTTAGATGGTTTATCTTTTGCATAGGTTTTGCTAAGGTTAGAAAAAAGGCCATAGTTTAGAGTTAGAATTTTAAGTTGCCTAATTCACCTCCCCCTCTTAGGCGTCATGGTCCTTCTTCAATATTCTTAATCGAGTGCCAAGCAAGTCAGTGCCCAAAACACCATATGAGTTGTGGATAGAAAAGGAACCCTCACTTAATTATTTACGTGTCTAGGGTTGTCCAGCTGAGGCTAAATTCTTTAATCCAAACATAGGGAAGCTAGACTCCAAGACACTCAGTTGCTATTTTATTGGCTATCCAGAAAAGTTAAAAGGTTATCGCTTCTATTGTCCTAACAGACATACGAAGTTTGTAAAAACGAGACATGCAGTGTTCTTGGAGGATGATATGGTTAAGGGGAGCATGGTAGCGCTAGAAATTATTTTTAAAGAGAAGCGGGTATACGTGCCCACTCCGATGATTTAGGAACCATTCTTCACGCTACCTGTTGTTGCTGTACTAACAGTGCATGACACTGTAGTAACATCACCAATTGTTAGTTCTCCTGTGGCAACAATGAATGAACATGAGGAACCTGTCGTTTAAGATCCCATAGAACCCGTTGTCACACATAAGGAAGAGCAACAACAGCCTCATATAGAACAAGCGTCAACTAATAAGGCCCCTAGAAGGTCTTAAAGAGTCAGAAGATCAGCCATTCCTGATGACTACGAAGTCTATGGATGTGAAGAATTTCAAATGGAGGGTGATCCCACCTCATTTGAAGAAGACATGAGAAGCGCTCACTCATCAAAGTGGCTTGAAGCCATGTAAGATGAAATAAAATCAATAAATACCAATGGTGTTTGGGACTTAGAAACAATTCCTAAATGAACCAAGACAGTAGGCTGTAAATGGGTCTACAAAACTAAACATAACTCCAAAGAGAACGTAGAAAGATTTAAAGCGCGACTTGTGGCGAAAGGCTTCATGCAAAGAGAAGGCATAGATTACAATGAGACATTTTCACCAATCTCATGTAAGGATTTTTTAGAATTATAATGGCGCTTATAGCACATTATGATTTAGAATTACATCAGATGGATGTAAAGACGACGTTCCTAAACGGGGATTTGGAAAAAAATGTTTACATTGCACAACCAAAAAATTTTGTTGTGCAAGGAAAAGAACGTATGTGATGCCACCTGAAGAAATCCATTTACGAATTAAAACAAGTATCAAAATAGTGGTATTTAAAATTGGATAGTACAATAAAAAGATTTGGGTTTCAAGAAAATATATAGGACAATTGCGTTTATGCAAAGTTTAAGAATGGAAAACACATCTTCCTAATCTTGTATGTGGATGACATCTTACTCGCTAGTAGTGATATTAATCTACTACTAGAAATGAAGAAGTTCTCGTCCTCGAAGTTTGATATGAAGGATCTCGGTGAAGCTTCGTTTGTTCTAGGAATAGAGATTCACCGAGATAGAGAAAATGGGGTTTTAGGACTATCACAAAAGGTATACTTAGAAAAGGTTCTAAAGAAATACAGTATGCAAAATTGTAAGCCTGCACCTGCTCCCATAATCACGGGTGATAGATTTGGAGAATTTCAATGTCCCAGAAACCAATATGAGATCGATCAAATGAAAGCGGTTCCGTATGCTTCAGCTGTCGGAAGTTTATAGTATGCTCAAGTGTATACACGCCCTGACTTAGCATTTTGTTACCGAGTTACTTGGTAGATATCAGAGTAATCCAAGAATAGAACACTGAAGACTTGTAAAGAAAGTTTTGCGTTATTTACAAGGCACAAAAGGTCTCATGCTAACATACAGAAGATCTGATTCCCTATACATATAGGGGTATACAGATTCAGATTATGCGGGAGATGATAAAAAATCTACGTCAGGTTATATATTCACTCTCGCAAGAGGAGCTATATCATGGAAAAGCTCAAAGCAAACCGTCACTACATCGTCTACGATGTATGCCGAGTTTGTAGCGTGTTATGATGTCATAGGGCAGGTAAATTGGCTGAAGAAGTTCATGCCCAGGTTGAAAGTGGTAGACGACATACATAAGCCACTCAAGTTATACTGCGATAATAATTCAGCAGTATGTTATGCTCACAATAATAAATCAAATGGTGTTGTCAAACATATTGACATAAAGTATTATGTTGTGAAAGACAAACTCCGGAATCATATAATTAGTTTTGAGCATATAAGTACAGAAAAGATGCTCGCGGATCCGCTTACAAAAGGCTTACCAGCCAACGTGTTCAGAGGACACTTAGCCGGCATGGGTTTAAGAGAAATGATATGATTCCTGGACAATAAGGGTCTAGATGAGAATCGGTTTCAAAACAGAGAGGTGCATTGTCGCTGTTAATCTAATGACAACTGACCGTGACGATGAGGCACGCTCTATGCACTGATATGTGATGGAATGGAAAAAAGATAAAGTAAGTTAAATTTAAGTCATAAGGTGAGATTAAGGGATAGAATGTTAGGTTGATCTCTACCAACTTGGCCCAACGGCCAATTGGACCCTTGATCCACGCTCTGATCGGGGACGGCCAACTCTATCTATGGTTGGTGGGCCCCCGTCGCACAGCGCCATAAAAAAGAGGTGGGGGCCAGGGCACAACGACAAGGCTCACCTAAGCCACCACAAATCCCACTTACATCCTAACCCTAAGCGGGCGGGGGACCTTTTGATTCAGCATATCAGGTCCTGTCTCCTGCTACCATCACCTGTGCTACTCTTCCGCCTTCTGTAGTTCTGGTGCGTTCCTTTTAATTAATACGTACGTATTATGCAATGGCATCTGCTGGATCTGATTTGATTATTGCTAATTGCGATGGTTAGGTGAGGATCATGGCGGCATGGCCTGTCTTTGCACCCAGATTGGATCGCTCCAGCCTCCAGAGGTGGATGAGACGTCGCCACTAAATTGATTAAGTGCGGTGCACCGATGATAGGTCATTGTTTCGTTAATTCTGATGACCAAAGGAAAAAGTGGCCTGCCAGATCGGAATTTTCTGTTCACTCTTTTGACCTGTGACCTGTCGAAATCGAGTCAGAATCAAAGAAAGCTTTGCATTTCCTCGAGAGAATCGTAGCATCCATAGACCATAGCAAGAGGAAGCGGCTGAGGTTGCAGGTAGAGAGACGAGAGAGTAGCTCGGGTGAGCAACATGGCGGAGAAGCTGACGCCAGAGCAGGTCGACGAGTGCAAGGAAATCTTCGACCTGTTCGACGCCGACGAGGACGGCAAGTCACCATCCCCCTCGTACTCCGATCCACCGCGTGCGCGCCTAGCTCCGAGCCTCAACTGATATGTGCGTGCTTCTTTGTTGCTCCCGGTGGGCATGCAGGTCGCATCGCCACGGGCGAGCTCGTGACGGCGCTGCGGTCCCTGGGCCAGAACGTGGACGAGGCGGAGGCGCGGCGCTTCCTGGAGGACGCGGGCGCCGGCGCCGGCACCATCGACCTCGCGGCGTTCCTTGCCGTGGCGGCGCGCAAGATGGGCGCCAGGCAGTCGGAGGAGCGCCTCGCGGAGTGCTTCGACGTGTTCGACGACGCCCGCAGTGGGTCCATCCCCGCGGAGCAGCTGCGGCAGGTGATGGTGAGCCACGGCGACCGGCTCACGGAGGAGGAGGCCGACGCGATGCTCCGCGAGGCCGACCCCAGCGGCGAGGGCCGCGTCGAGTACAAGCACTACGTCAAGGTGCTGCTCAGGGACAAGTAGTGACCCGGTGATCGGTGATCCTTCGGTGGCCACGAGCGATTCAGTTGGGGAGGAGGATGTCAACTCGATCTGCTGTCCTAGCTGTGCTGCTGAAGTGCTGAATTATTGTCACAGCACCAGATGCAGTGGCTAGTCGCTACCGATTTCTTGAAGTTAACATCACCAGTTCTGTGTTCTGGTTTCGCTCGTGAAGCGTGTAACGTATCTCCGATAACAGCTTTCAAGACCAACTCCGTTCCGTTCGCCGTAGACCCATCGTCTCCCAGAGCACCGGCGCCGGCGTTTTTTTTTTTTTTTTTGAGGCGCCGTCGTTTCTGTTCAGGAACTCCGTGGCTGATGGCTGCTCTGGATATGGGCCACCAAAGCCTGTCATCAGAGCTTTTCTGGTGGGCTGGACGGGCCGCAGATAACATTCTCGATCCCATTCGGCCTTCGTAGACGTCCTCAATGCCAGCCTGGCAGCCGCCACACGCCACGTCGTCCGCGTCCTAGCCACTCACGAACGCGCGCCGAGTCACCGACCGCCTCCTATCCACTTTCCCATCCGCCAGAACCGCCAGACCGCCAGCGGTCTGACCACCTCTCGTCTCGGCAGCTCCGAGCGGAAGGAGCTCGTCGCCGTGCTAGTCTCCATGGCGGCCACAGCGGTGACCGTCTCCACCTCCGTGTGCACCTCCTCATCAGGGCATAGTAGGGGCGGTCCGAACGTGAGGCCTCAGGCCCGTCTCGCCCGTTCGCCACTACTCGGCAGGCCGCCGTCGCCGCGCCGGAGGCTGCGGACGGCCTTGGCCGCGTCGTCGGGCAAGCAAAAGCCGCCGGGCGAGGCGGAGGAGCAGGTCCCCGCGTGGGCCAAGCCCGGCGCGGACGAGCCTCCGCCCTGGGCGCGCGATGGCGGGGCCGCGCGGGGACCGGAGGAGGCCGGGCAGGTCCCGTTCTACGCGTACCTGCTCGCGTCCGCGATCACCGCCATCGCCGCGGTGCGTGCGCCTGCTGGAAACCCATTTTCCTTTTCGCTGCCGGCAGAATCTTTACTGACGAAAACGAAACTCGCTCCACAGATCGGCTCCATCTTCGAGTACACCAACCAGCGGCCGGTGTTCGGGATCGTCGGCTCCGACAGCGCCCTGTACGCGCCGATCCTGGGCTTCTTTGTCTTCACCGGCATCCCGACCTCCGTACGTATCCCAAGATATGCGCCGGGCTTGCCTGCCTCCCCATTGCAGCGCCTGCTTTGTCGCTGACTGAAGAGTGTCCGTGTACATTTTCAGGCGTTTCTGTGGTTCAAGGCCGTGCAGACGGCGAACAGAGAGGCCGAGGAGCAAGACCGCAGAGACGGATTCCTGTGAAGCTCTGAGGGTGACTCCAGCGCACTCGCCGGTGCCGTTGTGCAGAAGAACACGCACCGCACCACCGGTGTACGCAGCGACGGGTCATGTTATGTATGTCACTGTATTCTAGAATTGGAGAGAGCAGATGGATTTGCGGCGGAAATCAGAGAAAAAGGAATAGACAGATAACGAGTAGTAATTTTCTATATGCATGGAGTAATATCTTGACCACCATCGTATGAGTGGAAAATATTTATATTTCTTTGGTTCAAAACCGTATAATGTGTTGCTTCTTTCTTTTAGCATGTTTTTGGCAGTGGTGCGTATGGTTCTTTATTTTGATAGCAACGATGCATCCCCACTCCTACCTTCTCCATTCTTGTTAACGGTGGCATTCGGCAAGGCTGTCCCCTTTCGCCTTATCTCTTTGTGGTTGCTATCAATGAGCTATCCATTCGTTTACAACACGAAATGCACAATTCTAGCCTAACGATCACTCTTGGTTCCGGATGCCCTCCTGTCCATTCTCTTCTTTTTGCAGATGACCTCATGCTTTGTGGATAGGCAACGGAGCAGGAAGCCACCCACATCCGGACGATACTTGACCAATTCTGCAAACGGTCAGTGCAGGTACCCAACCTCCAAAAGTCATCCATTATGTTTAGCAGGAATGTTAACAGCACTGTTATAGCCACAATCAAGAATATTTTTTCTGCTCCTGACCTTCTACCAAATACTATGCACCTAGGTCATCCAATCATTTTCAATCACAACGATAGAAACAAAGCTTATGAATTTATCATTAACAAATTCAAAGCAAAGTTTACAACTGTTAAGGCCAATAAACTTAATCACGCAGGTAGACTAACCTACATCCAGTCTGTTCTTTCCTCCATTCCTGTGTACTACATGTCAACTGTGCTTTTCTCCAAGTCTTTTATCCACAGAATCACTGTTATCATCAGAAGATTTTGGTGGACCGGCGTCCAGGATGACAATCCCACGTCTCCTATTGCCTACTGTTCGTGGGATGATATCTGTCAATCCAAGGAAAATGGCGGCCTAGGGATTCGGGACCTTTATACTGTCAACAAAAGTCTTCTTACACAGGCTGCCTGGAATATTGCAACTAACAAGAATCATTTCCTCTCTTCGGTCATTAAAGCCAAATACTACCATGACGCTTCTTTTTGGACAGCCAAAACTAATGGCCCTCAATCGGTTTTCTGGTCTTCTGTTTTGCAGGTCAAAAAGGAATTAAGCGCCAACTCTACTTACCAACTTCATGCAGGTAATACTTCCATCTGGTCAGCCCCTTGGTGCCCACTGTGGGAATCTATACATGACCACATGCATCTTTCGGTTACTACTCTACCTCTGCCTACTCCTGTATCCCAACTCTGGAATCCTCACTCTAGATCCTAGAATATTGATCTCATCACAAATATTTTTGATGACCAGGCTCTTCAAGCCATCACTCACATTAACCTTGTCGATAGTGACCAACAGGACATACTGAGGTGGACTCCATCAAAAGATGGAAAATGCTCTTCTAAAAATATTTACAGGCACCTCACCTCCCAGTCGGTCATACACCTTCCCCAGCAAGGATCCAGAAGCATTCAGCCACAGGCAAATCAGATATTACAGAGGGCGTGGAAGAGCAAAGAACTACCACCTGGTGGCTAATACGCAGAGCACTTGCAACCGCTGAGAGAGCAGCAAGGTACTCCACTAACATAGATAACCATTGTGCAAATTATGGAGCTATGGAAAACGACGCCCACTGTAACAACCCAAAAATCCACACACCAAAAATACCAACTACAAAATTTTTCTCAAAACTTCTATGTGATGATGAGTGTCATGTATAGAAACCCAACCTAAGAGATGCATTAGGTCTAACCCCAACCCAAGTCAACACATAAGCATAGCATGTCATTAGTTAACTGTGTTTAATTAAATTCTAACAAATAAAGTATTGCATACATTGTTAATTCAAATTGTGATTTGGATTTAAATTTGCTTTATGTTATGCTTAACAACTCCATTAAAGTAATAAACCATAAAGTAATTATTAATCGAATCAAAAGAATAAATGCTTAAGGAGAAAACTAACCCTATTTTTGTATAACAAAACCATATCTATTTTTGTTATACAAAATAGCTAAACAAAATTCCCTAAACTCCAATAAATAGGTTACATCAATTTTGAATTCATAATTCAAACCAAATTTGAATTCAAACAAAAGAAGAAGAAATGAAAAAACGTAAAAGGGAAAAAGAAAAGAAGAAGGAAGCCTCGCTGTGGCCCAGGCCCGCTCGGCTTCACAGCCCATCCAGCCCATCCAGGCCAACCGGCCCGCCGCCTTCAACCGCCGCTTTTCACCTGCCATTGACTGCTGCCAGCCCAAGCCCACCAGGCTCCAACACACGCCGCCGCCACGCTGGCCCCACGCCGCTTGCTCATTGTTGCCGGATTGACGCATCGCGTCACCGTCACGACGTCGCCCACGCCCGCGCGCCTCTCCGCTTTCTCCTTGCTGCCGCTGCCACTTGGCCCCGCATGTCAGCCACCCCCGTCCACCGCGTCGTCTTCTCCACGCCCACGCCCAACCACCCGCGCGACCGAGCCCCGACAGCGGTGGCAGGGCGGACCAGGGGGTCACGCCCGGGGCATGGCCCTGTCTCCCTTGCGCCGCGCTCACGCAACCTCACGCGAGCCGTCTGATGCATCGCACGCCTCTCCACCTCTCGATCGCCACCCGCCATGGGAGCATGGAGCTCGGTTATAAAACCCCAGCCTCGGATGCCCGAGTGCTCTCCTGTGCCCCGCCGCCACCTTGTGGCCGTCCACAGCACACCCGAGCCAAGAGAGAAGAGGGAGAAGAGGAAGAAGGGGGGGACGCCGAAGCCGCTGCGAGGGGGAAGAGCTTGCCGAAGTCGTCGGAGCCGACGGCGACGCCGTCGTCCTCATCATGGTCGGGGGTCGGCAGACGCATCGCTTCCGGAGCTACACACGGCCGCAACCCACCACCGCACCGCCATCCTATCTCCCACAACACCTACGGTGAGCCTCCTGCCTCTCTCTCCGCCGCCGCCGACCGGACCTTACCATGTCGGGCCATGGCGCCCACACCGGGAGCCACGAGGCTGTGGCCGTCTCCGCCTCTAGGAACACACGCACCCACGCCGCACACCCGCGACCACGCCATGACCGCGCCATCGAGCCCCGTGGTGCACCCTGGCGTGCACGCCGCGGCCACGATGCCACCGTCGCATGCGTGCACCACCACTCGCGCGACCCGCCGCCTCATGGGACTAGGACATAGTCGCAACACCGCCATGATGTCTGGAGAACAGCCGCGTATACCGAGTCGTCGATAGCCGGCTACGGTGACTTGTCCACGTGCACCAGACCTCCGCCATGGCCGAAGCAAGCCGCCGCCGTGGCCAAAGCCACCGGCCCTGGAGGACCCCTCGACCTGCCCAACATGCCCGCTGGAGCATTATGACGCTCACGCACACCACAAACCCGGCCTATATGCCGCTGCACCCGCGCCACCCCCGCACGCCGGTTGTGCTCGAGCCGCCGTTCGCCGTGGCCAGCGACCTAGGAAGCTCTATCCGTCGCCCCAACCCAACCGTTGCAAACACCATGGCACGGGGAGACTTTTCCCCACCTCAATTGGACGCCTGAGCCATTGCGGGAGCTCACCGGTGAGCACGTCATCGGCGGGAGCACGCCGTGGAAGAAACAGAGGAGAAGGGGGTGAGTTGAGCAGCGCAGCCCTGCACCCGGTGCACATGAGCCGAGCCGAGAGGGAAAGACGATGGACTTGGTCCACCATGGACCTCGCTTAGGTCCATGGACCGTGAACTTGGGTCCACCATGAGCCGCGCGCCACGCCCACGCCAGAAACGAAGCCTAGTAAGAGCTCAATCGCGCACGCGTGGCGGCCGCCACAAAGACACCACGATGTCCGGTCGGCCCGCCCGCATCGCCCAAACCCAAATTTCGTTTAGGCACGTTTTGACCCGCCCATGTTGGCCGTTGACCGGTCAACGCCGACCGCTGACCTGGCCCCACATGTCGCTGGCATGCATACACTGCTCGACCCACACGCCGATGTCGACGTCATGTCGACGACGACGATGATGACGTGACGCGGGACCCACTGTCAAGAGCAAAGACGGCCGAGGTGACGCATGGCGACGTCGACATCACATCACCGCCGACATCGCAGCCTCGCCCCCACGTCGCTGCTGACCTCGATCGTTGACCGTTAACTTGCCATTGACTGACGTTGACCTTGACTGGACCAACATGTCAGTGACCCAAGAGCCCCTGGACCCACCTGTCTCGAATCGATGACGTTGCGACATCATGTCGACGTCATTTGGACCCAATTGTCATTTCTCGGAATCGAGACGATGATGTCATGTCGACGTCAAGCATGCCACGTGGACCACCACAGGCGTGACACGACGTCGACCAGATTAATTCACCTTTTTCATTTTCGAAATGGATTTAATCTTCTAAATTCATAACTAATTCATATGACCTCGTAAAAATACTGAAACCAGGACCAAAATTCATCTAAAATTAAGCTCTACGCAATGAACCCATGTTTGAGTGCATTTGGCTCTTTTGAAGTTTCATTGCTTCTTTGTGCCATTCTATAAACGTCGCTAACGCGACAATAATGCGATCATTTGCAGACTTGGAGGAGAACCGGATGGACGAGGATCGTGAGTACCGTGAGGAGTACGGAGACGACTACACTGAAGATGCCACATCCCACCCAACCTCGTAGCACCTATTATGCATGGCTAAAATAGAAATGCTAGTGCTTTACTTTATTTTTGTAATCACACTATGATATGACTTGCATGGTAGAATGCTTTCTTGATGGCCTTTACCTTGACGCAACCTTACCCCTGCTCACCCTGCTGTAGGGCTAGTCACACGCTTGCTATTATATTTCATTGCTTATTACTTCTACTATGCTTGCACT